AGAAGTAGTAGAACAATATATATATATATATATATATATATATATATATGACGAATAGGAATCATAATGATACCACATTTTAAAGTCAAATATCTGATGTGGTACCCCACAGTTTCAAATTACCTATGTCAAGATAAGTTCTTAAACATTTCCAAGGGAAATATAATCCCTTAATCATTAATTTGTACAAGCCTCTGTACCATACCTTGATATGGGTACAACTTCACTCAAGTAGGGTATGACAAAAACAGTGTCAAGTAAGTATAAATCTTATAGAACAATACGTGCTGTTTATAAGGATGCTACTAATAACATGCAGAACACCAGAATGAAAATATAGAAAACTTTACCTAAATATGTCTGAATATTATGGAAGGGTGAAATCGGCACTTTAACAATTTCCTATCTTGGCACCTTCCTGTGTCAAGCCTTAAAATTAAATATTAAAATGTCCAAGTCATAAGTTAACTAATATGATTGTAACTTCCTGTGTGATCTTCTTGAACTACACACACAGTGCAGTTACACTTACACCAAGACAAGATATGGTACAACTTCTCCAAGAGCCACTAAAGCAAAATAATTTAACCCAACTTAATAAATTCTATATTTTACTAATATAATCTAAACAAAAATCAAAGTAAGTCTTTTGCACAAATGAATAAGATAAACTGAATACAAGATCAAATAGAATTATAAAACAAACTTGCATACAAGTTTTATAGTAAACTGAATACAAAAAAATCCTGAAATAAATTTAATGGAATACAAAAATCAAATCACAAAACTAAATAAAACTGACACAAGGTAACATTAAATACAAAAATTAAATTAACTAAAAACAAAACAAAATGCTGGCCAGTTACATGTTCAGACACAAGTCAGATAAATATATAAAATAGTTTCCTTGATGGGTATCTCTTGGGGATGTAGCAGTAGTAGTTGGGATGGCCTAGACTTTTGGGATGTTTTGGTATTTTTCAGTGTTGGTGTTCTTCAGAGTGCTCTGTGGCATCAGCTTGAAGATGGTAAGTAGGGCTGACATAGTGGCAGTCACATTCATTGCTCCCAAGCTGCTTGATCTGGCTAAGTCCAATTTGGACCACACATCGGGCTGGGAAATATACCTCTCCTCTTTCAGTGTTGGAAATATCAGGCATGGGGCCCTGTGCTCTTTCAGGAAATTATCATTCATTATTAGGGAGTCATCCTACATTAAACTAAAAAATAATATAGTGTTAGATAAACCCTATCCAAATTATGAGGTGTTATGACATAAATAAAATTAATGAAAAATTACATTTCACCAACTTAATCTAGCTCATGCCATAACAGCTGTTGACAAATAATTTGTTGTTATAAACAGCATCACAACTACTAGTATGTTTTTATATCCTAGCCAGTCTGAAGAGTCCTGGTATTGGGTAAAAGGCCTTGTGAGCTCTGGATGTAGCAGGTATGTTGTGGTTGATACATTATTATATACTCTTCTTTACTTTCACCCAGAAGTTCTTAATAATAATTTGTAAAGCAAATTAATTAGGCAGGTCCACAATTCACTAAAAGATAACTAGTAATCAAGTTTCTTGGCCTTATTAAGTTAGAAGCTCAGACAATCATTGTTAATCAGGCCATTTATAGGGAAAAGTTTTCCACACCAGATGTAATATATTGTTGCGTCATCGAGATCACGTGACAATTCTCACGCTCTCTTGTTTCTAGAACTATCCCGTATCTTGGCG